ATTAGTAAGTGTCTTAATGCTGGAGCCACTGTTACCGAGTTCAGATCCTGCTGCTTGCCCCTAATGTCTGCCCACAACACACTCTCAGTCCTCCTTGTTTCCTGGTCCATGGCAGCAAACCTCAAGGACCAGCTGATGATTGCCAATCTTCCTATGGAGGGACAGACCCTTCCAGAACAAGACTCCAGATTTTGGGTTGGTGCTGTTTGGTGTGGCCTTCGTCATGAGCACCTTAATGGCTTGGTTGATAAACTTGTCATTTGAATTTTGGCCTTAATATTTATAGTTCTTTTCAATTCTGGATACTAATTTCCCATCTTAACACTGTTAGGTAGCATTATTTTTCTCATTTGGTAGGCTGTCTCCTCACTTTGCTAATCGTTTTCAATTTCACACAACCCTATGTGTCATTTTGGGGGAGTGTTTCTGAAAGTCCTTGCCTATGCTCAATGTCTTTCCTTTATACGTTCCCCTGGAATTTCTAAACTTCAGGGCTTATGTTCACAGATTGGATTCATTTGAACTGATTTGTTCAGGATGAGAGAGCCAGGTCTAATGTAATTCTTTTTACCCTACCCTTTGTTTTTTTTTTTTTTTTTTTCCAAGACAGGGTTTCTCTGTAGCTTTGGAGCCTTCCTAGAACTAGCTCTTGTAGACCAGGCTGGCCTTGAACTCACAGAGATCTGTCTGCCTCCGCCTCCGAATGCTGGGATTAAAGGCGCGCACCACCACCGCCGGCCTTAATGTAATTCTTATACAGAGCTACATCTGATTTTCCAGGAACAATTTTTAAAAGAGGCTGTCTTTTTTGCTAGTGAATGCTTTTGACACCTTTATCAAAATAAGGTTGGCTGTAACTATGTGATTTTACTGTGGGGTCCTCTATTTTAGTCCATTACTTTGCATATATTTTTAATGCTGGTATCTATTTTTCTTTTTCTTTTCTTTTTTTTTCTTTTTCTTTCTTTCTTTCTTTTTTTTTTTTTTGATTTTCGAGACAGGGTTTCTCCGTAGCTTTTGGTTCCTGTCCTGAAACTAGCTCATGTAGACCAGGCTGGCCTCGAACTCACAGAGATCTGCCTGCCTCTGCCTCCCGAGTGCTGGGATTAAAGGCGTGTGCCACCACTGCCCGGCTCTACTGCCCGGCTCTATTTTTCTTACTATGGGTTTGTAGTATAGTTTGGGACCGGACTTGGTGATACTTTTGATATTGTTCTTTATTGTTAAGTTGACTTTGGTTATGTATGGCCCTCAGTGTTTCTGCTTGTATTTTAGTTTTTATCTATTAGAAATGTCCTTATAATATTGAAGAATTCAATCTGTGCTTTATACAAAGAAAAATAAAGACCCAGGACCACCCTCTCATAAGAAATAGTTTCTTTGTTCCTCAGAAGTTACCAAGAGTAGTTTTACTTTTGTTTTGTTTCTTTTACTACAATAAGAGCAAAATTTGGGGGTCAGAAAACCCGGTGGGAAAAAAAAAAAGTGAAAAAAAGCCGGGCGGTGCACTTGGGAGGCAGAGGCAGGCGGATCTCTGTGAGTTCAAGACCAGCCTGGTCTACAAGAGCTAGTTCCAGGACAGGCTCCAAAACCACAGAGAAACCCTGTCTCAAAAAAACAAAACAAAACAAAAACAAAAAACAAACAAACAAAAAAAAAAAAGAAAGAAAACCTGGTGGGTTTAAGTCTGGCTTCTTCATATTTTTTAGTTCTGTTGGACCAAACAGGCAACAGTCCTTCTAAGCATTTAGTTTCTCAGCCCGTAGAATTGAGATTCCACATTCTTGCTTCTGTCCCTGCGGTGAAGACAGACCTCTGTGATCCTCCGACAGTCTGGAATGTTGGTGTAGCCAGTTGCTGCTGATTCTGAGAGAGCAGAGGAACCGGTCTTGTGGGTGAGCAGACAAGACTGACGGTGCTGGAGAAAGCAGCCTCAGGGATCCACTGAAAACTAAAAATGTCCTTGACTAAACAGAAACATTATGGGTTGCCTCTGGGTTCTAAACTTTTGTGTTGTAAATTATCTCACAGTAGCCACATGGCTAAGTACATTGGAAACTGAGGCACAAGATTATCTGCTAAAGTTCATAGAGTAGATAGGAACTTGAACCCAAGCCTATGTCCCTAGTACCTTTACCCATCCTATACATTGATGGCGCACTGCATATCTGTGAGTATCTCCAGGAGACTTTGCACATATTTCTGTGATTGTTCTCATGCAGTAATTGCGTAGAGTCATTTTATGAAACGTCTATGAATGGATTTTCCCCGTGATCGGTGAGGACGTCCCTCCATTTCTGCTTGACCAACGTATACAAGATGGAACAATTCTCTATCACTCAGCAACACGGCTGCTTTACAGCACGTGGTGAAAATTCATTAGCACGGCTGCTCTTTTGCTATAATCAGACTTTATAAGCCCTGCACTTAATCACATTTTCTTTGAGGAAGCCCTGTGCTGTCTAAAGGGAAAGAGACTGTGGTAGGGTCAGGTAACCTGGAGTTGACGAACTACTCCACTGTTGAACCTGCAGAACTTTTTGTCTTTGTTTTAAAATCAAGTTGTGTTTGCCTATGCAATTGGTCCTTAGGAACTTGATAATTTTTATTCAAAGTAGTATATGATGACACTGTTGAGTATATTTTTATATTTTTGTTATCAGCCATATTCTCAAAACTTGATAACAAAGTATTTTCATATCAAAAAGTATTGAGGGGCATTGCATGGAGGCTATAAATTATTTTCAGTAATATAGTTATTTTTACAATATTAATTTTGCTGGTCTATGAAAATGTATCTTCTCATATTCAGTTTTTTTTTTTTTTTTGATTTTTCGAGATAGGGTTTCTCCATAGTTTTTGGTTCCTGTCCTGGAACTAGCTCTTGTATACCAGGCTGGCCTCGAACTCACAGAGATCCGCCTGCCTCTGCCTCCCGAGTGCTGGGATTAAAGGCGTGCGCCACCACCACCCGGCTCTCATATTCAGTTTTATTTTCAAAATAATACTTTAATATTTTTTAGAATTTCATACAATTTATTTTGACTATATTCAACCATAGCTCCTTCCACAGGCACCCTCTCTTCCCTATCCACCTCAACCAATGAGATAGAATCAACAATTAAAAATTTTCCAGCCGAGCCGGGCGGTGGTGGCGCACGCCTTTAATCCCAGCACTCGGGAGGCAGAGGCAGGCGGATCTCTGTGAGTTCAAGACCAGCCTGGTCTACAGAGCTAGTTCCAGGACAGGCTCCAAAGCCACAGCGAAACCCTGTCTCGAAAAACCAAAAAAAAAAAAAAAAAAAAAAAATTTCCAGCCGAAAGAAGTCCAGGCCCTTATGAAAACATTGCAGAATTCTAGCAGACCATCGAAGGACTGATACGAACACTCTTCAAATTTTCCATAAAATGAGAAAGGAAAACTTAAAAATTCCCTTTTTTGTGTGTGTTTTTTTGAGACAAGGTTTCTTTGTAGCTTTGGAGCCGGTCCTAGAACTAGCTCTTGTAGCCCAGGCTGGCCTCGAACTCACACCTGTGCCTCCCGAGTGCTGGGATTAAAGGCGTGTGCCACCACTGCCTGGCTAAAAATTCCTTTTGTAAAGTCAGTATTATCCTGATACCAAAACCAAAGATCCAATGAAGAATAAAATTATCTCCGGTAAATGGTGGCACACACCTTTAATCCCAGCACTTGGGAGGAAGAGGCAGGCAGATCTCTGTGAGTCCGAGGCCAGCTTGGGCTACAAGAGCTAGTTCCAGGACAGGCTCCAAAGCCACAGAGAAACCCTGTCTCAAAAAAAAAAAAAAAAAAAAAAAAAAAACACAACTGGTCCAAATGCAAAGAGCAAAAACGGTTGGATACTCAGCCTTGGTGGATACTCAACCCCCTTTGGTACATCTACAATACAACCCAGGCACAGAAAGCCCAACAAACATCATGGGAGAGGGATGGGAATTTGTAAGATCTGAAAGACCAGGGTATCTGGTTCGAGGTAGCATGCTGCACCCATTAAAACTCAGCTGAATAAAGGCTATATATCACAAACACAGCCAACTAAATGCAGGTTAACTCAAAGTAGTCACACTAAGATCAGGAACAAGACAAACATGTCCACTCTCTCCATTACACATCAATATACTTAATGCTATAGATAGAACCTTGAGAAAAGAAGGAAATAAAAGCGAGACAAATTTGAAAAAAAAAAAGATGAAAGCATCCTGTTTTGCAGATGATAGGATCCTATACATAAAAAAAAATCCTAGCGACTCCACCAAACTCTCTTAGAACTAATAAAAACCTCTAGCAAAGTGTCAACAATAATAGAAACAAAAGAAAGGCTATAAACTGAGGGAAACTGAACAACTCTCTGCTGAATAACTACCGACTTAAAGGTAGAAATAAAGAAATGAAAGACTTCCTAAAATTCAATGAAAATGAAGGCACAACATACCCAAACTTATGGGGCACAATATTCCTCAAACTATTACGAAAAATAGAAACAGAACGAACACTGCCAAAATCTTTTTGAGGCCACAGTCATCCAGATACCAAAACCTCACAAAGATACAACAAAGAAAGAGAATCACAGAACAATTTCCCTCATTAACACTGAAGCAAAAATACTCAATAAACTAATCCCAAACCAAATCCAAGAAAACATCAACAACAACAACAAAAATCCACCATGATCAAGAAGGCTCCACCCCAGAGAGGCAGGGAGGGTTAAACTTATAAAAATCGGCGGCCTGAGCTCTAGAGCTCACTCACTCCCTTCCGCGGCGGCGGGCCGCACTGCCCCTCGATCTTCCCGGCCCGACCCCTCGATCTTCCCGGCCCGGCCCCTCGATCTTCCCGGCCCGGCCCTCCGGTCCTCCCGGCCCGGCCCCTCGGTCCTCCCGGCCCGCCCCTTCGCCCGCCCGGCCCGCGCTCGGCCCGGCCCGGCCCATCTTGGGGGCGGGCCTCCGCAGCCCGGACTCTGCTTCCTGTTCGGAGACGGCCTGACGCTGGGATCGGCGGCCGCTCTACTCGCTCTACCCGCGCCGCCTCGGTAAGGTCACCGACCCCCGGGAGGAGGCTCCAGGCCGCGTCGGTCGCGCCGAGCCTGGCTGTGCGTCGCCATGGCCCCAGTGCAGCAGGAGAACCACCAGGTAATCCCTCCGGGCGGGGGCAGCGGCTCGGCGTCCGCCCCGGCTCCTCCGCCGCCGGGAGCCGCGCTGGCGGCGGCAGCTGCGGCCGCGGCTAGCCCTGGTTACCGGCTTAGCACGCTGATTGAATTTCTGCTGCACCGGGCCTACTCGGAGCTCTTGGTCTTGACGGACTTATTACCAAGGAAATCTGATGTGGAAAGGAAAATAGAAATTGTACAGTTTGCTAGCCGGACCCGGCAACTCTTCGTTCGATTATTAGCTTTAGTCAAATGGGCTAATGATGCTGGCAAAGTAGAAAAGTGCGCGATGATCTCAAGCTTTTTGGATCAGCAAGCTCTCTTGTTTGTGGACACCGCTGACCGCTTGGCCTCCTTAGCTAGAGATGCACTGATCCACGCGCGCCTGCCTAGTTTTGCTATCCCGTATGCCATTGATGTGCTGACTACTGGCTCTTACCCACGACTTCCAACCTGCATCAGGGATAAAATTATCCCTCCAGACCCCATTACCAAAACTGAGAAACAAGCCACGCTTCATCAGCTTAATCAGATTCTCAGACATCGGCTTGTCACAACAGAGCTTCCTCCGCAGCTCGCGAATCTTACCGTGGCAAATGGCCGCGTGAAGTTTCGAGTTGATGGAGAATTCGAGGCAACCTTGACAGTCATGGGGGATGATCCAGAAGTCCCGTGGCGCCTGCTCAAGCTAGAAATCCTAGTTGAGGATAAGGAAACGGGAGATGGCCGAGCTTTGGTTCATAGCATGCAAATCGACTTTCTCCATCAGTTGGTGCAGTCCAGGCTTTTTGCTGATGAGAAGCCTCTTCAGGACATGTACAACTGCCTGCATTGCTTCTGCTTGTCTCTTCAGTTGGAAGTGTTACACTCCCAGACTCTGATGTTGATCCGAGAGAGGTGGGGTGACCTTGTGCAAGTGGACAGGTATCATGCTGGAAAGTGCCTCTCTCTCTCAGTTTGGAACCAACAGGTTCTAGGGAGAAAAACAGGCACAGCGTCTGTTCACAAGGTGACAATTAAAATGGACGAGAATGATGTCTCCAAGCCTTTACAGATTTTTCACGATCCTCCTTTGCCAGCTTCGGATTCTAAATTAGTCGAAAGAGCCATGAAGATTGACCACCTGTCAATAGAAAAGCTCCTGATTGACAGTGTCCATGCGAGAGCCCACCAGAAGCTGCAGGAACTGAAGGCCGTTCTTAGAAGCTTCAATGCGAACGAAAACTCTTCCATAGAGACTGCACTTCCGGCTCTGATTGTGCCCATCTTGGAGCCCTGTGGTAATTCGGAGTGCCTGCACGTTTTTGTCGATTTGCATTCTGGAATGTTCCAGTTGATGCTTTATGGACTTGACCAGGCCACTCTGGAGGACATGGAAAAATCTGTGAATGATGATATGAAGCGGATCATCCCTTGGATCCAGCAGCTTAAGTTTTGGCTTGGACAGCGGCGTTGCAAGCAGTCTATAAAACATCTGCCTACGGTAACCACAGAAACGCTGCAGCTTTCCAACTGCTCAACGCATCCCGTCGGAAACCTCTCCAAGAACAAGCTGTTCATTAAGCTTACCCGCCTTCCACAGTACTACATTGTTGTGGAAATGCTTGAGGCTCCCAATAAGCCCACTCAGCTAGAGTACAAGTATTACGTCATGTCTGTGAGCGCTCCAGATGCTGACGACAGCCCCGTCACCGCACTGCTGCTGCAGCAATTCAAGGACAACATCCAGGACTTGGTTTCCTCCACGAAGACTGGGAAACAGACCAGAACTGGTATCAAGCACAAGAGGTCTGATGACCCGTGTCCAGTCGAAAGCAAGAAAGCCAAACCATCAGGAGACACGTGTGCCTTCGATAAAGTTCTAGCTCATTTTGTCGCTATGTGTGACACCAACATGCCGTTTGTAGGGCTTCGAATGGAGCTGTCCAACCTGGAGATACCGCATCAGGGAGTGCAAGTGGAAGGTGATGGCTTCAGCCATGCAATTCGCTTATTAAAGATTCCTCCCTGCAAGGGAGTAAACGAGGACACCCAAAAGGCCCTGGACCGCTCTCTTCTTGATTGCACTTTCCGATTACAAGGTAGAAACAACCGCACCTGGGTGGCAGAGTTAGTGTTCGCAAACTGTCCGCTTAATGGCGCTTCCACCAGGGAGCAAGGACCATCCCGGCGTGTTTACCTCACGTATGAAAATCTGTTGTCTGAACCTGTTGGTGGTAGAAAAGTAGTTGAGATGTTTCTTAATGACTGGAACAGCATTGCCCGATTATATGAGTGTGTGTTGGAGTTTGCACGTTCTCTACCAGACATACCTGCTCATCTGAATATTTTCTCTGAGGTTCGTGTTTATAATTACCGAAAACTCATCTTGTGTTATGGAACCACCAAAGGAAGCTCAATTAGTATCCAGTGGAATTCCATTCACCAGAAATTTCACATTTCTTTGGGAACAGTTGGCCCAAACTCTGGGTGCAGCAACTGTCACAATACCATTCTCCACCAGCTTCAGGAAATGTTCAACAGAACACCAAACGTGGTTCAGCTGTTACAGGTGCTGTTTGATACTCAGGCGCCGCTGAATGCCATCAACAAACTCCCTACTGTGCCGATGTTGGGCTTGACTCAGAGAACTAACACTGCCTACCAGTGTTTCTCCATTCTCCCGCAGTCGTCCACCCACATCAGACTGGCCTTCAGGAACATGTACTGCATCGATATATACTGCTGTAGTCGAGGGGTCGTGGCAATACGGGATGGTGCCTATAGTCTTTTTGATAACAGCAAGTTAGTTGAAGGCTTCTATCCTGCGCCCGGATTGAAGACATTCCTCAACATGTTTGTGGACAGCAGTCAGGATGCTCGGAGAAGATCTGTAAACGAGGATGATAACCCCCCTTCTCCTATAGGAGGGGATATAATGGACTCTTTGCTATCACAGCTCCAGACACCTCAGCAACAGTCGTTTCCCAAGCAGCCGGGAAGTTCAGGCGCTTACCCTCTTACTTCCCCTCCTGCGTCCTACCACAGCACAGTCAGCCAGTCTCCGTCTATGATCCACACCCAGTCTCCAGGAGCCCTTGACCCTAGTTCTCCATACACTATGGTGTCACCGAGTGGACGAGCAGGAAACTGGCCTGGATCTCCTCAAGTGTCCGGACCCTCACCAGCAACCCGTTTGCCTGGAATGTCACCAGCCAACCCGTCTCTACACTCTCCTCTTCCGGATGCTTCTCATTCTCCTCGAGCTGGCACAAGTTCCCAGCCAATGCCAACCAACATGCCTCCACCTCGCAAACTACCTCAGCGCTCCTGGGCAGCATCCATACCCACCATCCTCACTCACAGTGCCTTGAACATCTTACTGTTACCCTCTCCAACGCCGGGCCTTGCGCCTGGCCTGGCAGGCAGTTACCTCTGTTCGCCACTTGAGAGATTCCTCGGCTCTGTCATCATGAGACGACACCTTCAACGAATTATTCAGCAGGAAACGTTGCAGCTGATCAACTCCAACGAACCCGGTGTAATCATGTTCAAGACAGATGCCCTGAAATGCAGAGTAGCCCTTAGTCCCAAAACCAACCAGACCCTTCAGCTGAAAGTAACCCCTGAAAATGCCGGACAGTGGAAACCTGATGAGCTTCAAGTGTTGGAGAAATTCTTCGAAACAAGAGTTGCAGGCCCACCGTTTAAAGCCAACACACTCATAGCCTTCACCAAGCTGTTGGGAGCACCAACACACATCCTCCGTGACTGTGTGCATATTATGAAGTTGGAGCTGTTCCCAGACCAAGCGACACAGCTACAATGGAATGTTCAGTTTTGCCTCACCATCCCTCCCAGCGCACCGCCGATTGCACCTCCTGGGACACCAGCCGTGGTGTTGAAATCCAAAATGCTCTTTTTTCTTCAACTGACTCAGAAGACATCAGTCCCTCCCCAAGAACCTGTCAGTATAATAGTTCCCATCATCTATGACATGGCTTCAGGTACCACCCAGCAGGCAGACATTCCCAGACAGCAGAACTCTTCTGCGACTGCGCCCATGATGGTCAGCAACATTCTGAAGAGGTTTGCAGAGATGAACCCACTGCGACAAGGTGAATGTACAATATTTGCAGCTGTTCGGGATTTAATGGCCAATCTTACACTTCCCCCTGGTGGGCGTCCATAGACACTATTGTTTTTAATCCAGGAAGGCTGACACACACAGGCTGAATTCAGCCATCAGTTTTTAAAAGGAAAAGGACTTTCTTTTTTCTTTCTTTCTTTTTTTTTTTTTTAAATCGTAAGAGCTAAATATTTTAAACTGGCAACATTTTTCAGGGTGCATTACTTTTATCCAAAAGACCATCAATCTTTTGAATAGTGAACTTGTATAGTATGTTTAAATGTGATATATTTCAAACTAGGTAACAGATCAGTGTCTGCTTGACAGTAATAAGTTTAATATTACATTTTATACTATAAAGTAATGAAAATGCCAAACTTGTTTATTTAATTGTTTTCTTATGTTTTGGGTATAATGGTCTTTTTTGATTTTTGTTTTTGTTTTTTTTTTTTTTTTTTAAGGCAGGTCTGTCATTTTTGAATACTGTAAAACTGTGACGAGCTTTATATTGAAGTTGTATTTTAATATGGCCGCTTTGAATCCTTACACAGAAATGTTTTGGGAGTTGTTAAACATGTCCCAAAGAAGCAATATTTAATAAAACTAGGATGTAAAAGTGACACTCACTGGTGTGTGTGTAAGCTCTCTAGAGTTCTTAGGGCCTCCCTTCATCTTTAACCTGGTGGGGCCAGTCAGATTTTTAATTACGTATGTCTGAAATTTGGCCAAAAACTTTTTTTTTTGTTTTAAGGTTAATGTAGTTTCTTCAGACATTCCTAAAATTTAGCACCTTGGTTGTTTGTCAGTATAGGATTTGGGTAAAATGAAAGAACTTTGTCTTTGAAAAGAGACAGCAAGTGATTTATAATGATCAAGGATCCCAAATAATACAATTATTCTCATGTGTGAGGAAATGGGAACCTTTTTGCTAGGAAAATGTCATGGAAAGGATACTTCTGCATACAGCATTAACTAGGAAGCAAAGAACTTGAATGCTCTAGTTTGCATGAAGTGTCGGTGACAAATCTTTATCTTATTTAACTTTTTACCTTCCCCAGCACAAGTGGGGTTGTTCTGAACAATCTCAGTTTAATTCATTGTCAGCAAAGCAATAGGATATTTTGCTGGACACAGTCTGGTCCGGTCATTTGAGAAGTCCACGGTGCAGAGCCTGTCTAGAGTCCAGTAGAGTTCTGGCACTGGTGCCGCTCAATAGGGTTTCTATCTAGAGTTCTATACTGTCTCTCGCAGCCAGCCAGGGACTTTTTAAGCTTTGATGAATATGATCTGATTCAAATGTTTTTTAATGAATTGATGTTATTTGGAGCAGGGTTTTTTGTTTTTATTTTTTATTTTTTTAATGATACTATCATGCTGAGTTGTAGCTAGCCAATGTAATATGGTCCTCGATGAAATTTTAGATGTTTGTCTGATTTCATTTTAAGATGATTAATTGAGATTCTATAACTGTAACCACCAGATTCTGGTTTTAAGCATCTCACTGCAACTGTATCATATATGCTCAACTTTGCTTGAATCTCCATTTTCAGTCAGAGCTGAGGCCTTTTTTGTCCTCTGTGTCTCATTTCTGCCTTCACCTCCTGCTTTTCACCCAGCTCTGACACTTCTCCAGAGTGGGTGCCTAAACTCTTCTTCTTCCTTTAACCTAACCCTTTTCTCCTTCTGTTTTCAATTCTCTTCACAGTGGTAATCACATGGGTTTGGCAAGCTAAGATGTCTTGATCAGGAGTCAGTCCTTTTCTTTTGGGAACTAAATCCTATCTTTCATATAGAAATCTACATGTATATACAAGAAATGTATTTTTATCGGCAGGATGATATTTTTTCAGATAATTTTATGAATAGAATTAACTTTTCAGGTATTTTCTCTTTTAAGTGTGGTTTTGAAATGTTAATTGCATTTTTATACATAATGCATTCAATGGCTACTTTTTCCTAATTCGTACACCTTTGAATGCGTTGTGTAAAACAAGTAAGATAGAATTCAATGAACAGAATTTGATTTTGATGCTTATTAAGAGTAAACCAATGAATTTGAATTTTGATATCATGCTTGGTACTTGTAATTGGTATATTACTTTATTAAAGCTTGGAAATACTTAGCATTTGAATCGTAATTTTCATCACAAACCATGTCTTTTGCCTCTTTTGTTAAGCAGGTTCAGTCAAAGAAACTGGATGCCATAGTGATTTTTCTCTAGTAGGTGATTTGGAACTTGATTTTAATAAGGTGTTTTCAATGTGATTTTAGTATTTACAGTAATAAATAAAATTTATACAAGCTTCAGAGAAAAAAACCATATGAAAATCTGTCAATGTAATTCACCATATAAACAAACTGAAAGAGAAAGAAAAACACATAACCATCCCATTACATGCGGAAAAAGTCTCTGACAAAATCCAACACCCTTTCATGATAAAAGTGTTGGAGAGATCTTGGATACAAGGGGCAAACCTAAACATAATGAATGTAATAATCAGCATTCCAACAGCCACCAAACATCAAATCAAATGGAGAGAAACTCAAGGCAATTCCACTAAAATCAGGAAAAAGACAAGGCAGTGCATTTGGTGTATATCTATTCAATATAGTACTTGAAGTTCTAGCTAGAGCAGTAAAGACAACGAAAGGTATGGGAACCCAAAAATGTGAACCTGTTTTGCCTTGTTTGAAGGTCAGAGAGTTTGAGCTTATTTTTGCTCTTTCAAAGTTGCTGACAACAGGTGTGGCTATAAAATAAGAGATCCTGACCTGGGATGTGGTTACTTGGTGTTTTGAATGTTAGCCCGTACAGGTGGGTCTGTTCCACCCTCAAAGGTCAGAGAATTCAAGCTTACTTTTGCTTCTTCTCTCAAAATAGGAGGTTTGACTTAGGGCGTGGTTGCCTGCAGTAAACTTGGTCTAGGGTGAGTTCACTGCCCAAACATCCAATACTTTACTTTGGAATTAAATGGCTTGCTGTCTCAAGTATTGGAGCAAGTACCTGTTCTGGTTGCCCCTTGTATCCTGTTAAAGCTGTGTTTTGCCTTCTTTCCCCCTTTTGTATTGGGGTAAAAGTGTTTGAAAACTAAATGTGTGCTAAGTCAGAATTCAGAAAATTCAGCATTCAGGGTCTGCTGAGTTGCCCTCCTGGTACTCTCCCGTGTCTCTGTGTGTCTTCTTTTCTCTGCTCCTCCTACCTAACATTTCTAATCCTCATGCCCCTACCCTGGAACGTACGAACCTGCTGTGGCTAGGATGCGACAGAAGTCACCCTAAAATGGTGACTCATGACAAAAAGGCAATCAAGGGGATGCAAGTTGGAAAGGAAGAAGTCAAAGAATCGCTATTCACAGATAATATGATAGTATGCATAAGCAATCCTCGAAATTCTACCAGGAAGCTCGTGCCTTTGATAAACAACATCAGCAAAGTGTCTGAGAACAAGGTTAACTTAAAAAAAATTGTAGCCCTCCTATATACAAATGACAAATGGGCTGAGAAAGAAATCAGCACCCTTCACATTAACCTCAAGTAATATAAAATATCTTGAGATGACTCTAACCAAGCGAGTAAAAGACCTGTAAGACAAAGAACTTCAAGTCTTTTATATATATACACATATGTATATATATATATATACATATATATTCCCTCTCCCTTCCCTTCTCCTGCTCTCCCACCTTCCCCCAACCCCACTCCCCAGCCATTCTTAGAGAGGGTGAGGCTTCCCATGGAGAGTCAAAGTCTTCCACATCACTTGAGGCAGGATCAAGGCCCTCTTCCCTGTATCTAGGCTGAGCATAGGGAATAGGCTTCAAAGAGCTGGTATGTGCACTAGGGATAAATACTGGTTCCACAGCCAGTGTCCCCAAGTCACACAACTGTCACTCACATTCAGAGGGCCTAGTTGAGTTATATGCAGGTTCCCTATCTGTCACTCCAGAACCAGTGAGCTCCTGCTTGCTCAGGCCAGCTATTTCTGTGGGTGTCCCCATCATCTTGATCCTTTGCTCATATTATCCCTTCTCCCTCTTACAACTGGACTCCAGGAGCTCGGCCCAGTACTTGGCTGTGGATCTGCATCTGCTTCCAACAGTTACTGGATGAAGGTTCTACGGTGTCAGTTAGGTAGTCATCAATCTGCTTACAGCAAAAGGGTGGCTAAGGCTTCCTCTCCACTATTGCTTAGGGTCTTAGCTGGGGCCATCCTTGTAGATTCCTGGGAATTTCCCTAGTGCCAGGTTTCTCACTAACATCATAATGGCTCCCTCTATCAAGATACCTCTTTTCCTTGCTCTCCCTCTCTGTCCTTCCCCAACTTCACCTTCTAATCCCTCAAGTTCTCCTCCCCTTCCCTTCCTCCCCTCCCTAGTCCCTTTAAACCCTCCCCTCCCCCTCCCCAACAGCTGCTTTACTCAGGAGATTTTGTCTCTTTCCCCTTCCCAGGGGGATCCATGGATGTTTCTCTTAAGGTCCTCTGTGTTTCCTGACCTCTCTGAGGTTGTGGACTGTAGGCTGGTTATTCTTTGCTTTATCCATTTATGAGTAAGTACATCTTGTGTTTGTCTTTTTGGGTCTGGGTAGCCTCACTCCGGTGATTTTTTTTTCTAGCTCCATCCATTTGCCTACAAATTTCAAGATGTCATTTTAATTAATTAATTAATTAATTAATTAATTATTTTTTACCCCGAGTAGAACTCCATTGTGTAATGTACCATATTTTCTTTATCTGCTCTTAGGTTGAGGGGCATCTTGGTTGCTTCCAGGTTCTGGCTATTATGAATAATGCATCTATGAACATAGTTGAGCAAATGTCCTTGTGGTATGAGTATACATCCTTTGGGTATAAGCCCAAGAGTGGTATTGCTGGGTCTTGAGGTAGATTGAGTCCCAGTTTTCTAAAAACACTGCCATAATACAGTGATATTTTATTTGTATTTTAATAAATAAAGCTTGCCTGAAGTTCGGAGGGCAAAACATTCCCACTGAAACAGACCAGGCAGTGGTAACACCTTTAATCCCAGTAGCCATGCTGGTTTGCCATAGAAGCCAGGCAGCAGTGCTGAACGCCTTTAATCCCAGCCCTAGAGAGGAATATAAAACAGGTGGAGACAGCTCTTACACACATCTGGGATTCCTGGAGCAGGATTGCCATGCCACTTCAGACTGACGTAGAGGTAAGAACCAGTGGCTGGCTGTTTTGCTTTTCTGGCCATCAGGTTGAATCCCAATATCTGTCTCTAGGTTTATATTAATTGTTCTACAAATAGCAACCAAACGTTTGGCAAGAATTTCCACATAAAGCCCGAGAAAGCTTTAAAAAAAATTTTAGACAGACAAAAACAGAGTCAAGTGCAGCTTCTTGGTAACTGTCTTTTCTCAGGTAGGCTCTGTTTGCTGGCAGCTAGCAGAGACATGACTCCTTTAGGAAAGGCTTCTTGACTCAGCATTAGCAGCAAAAACTGCTTGGCAGTGCTTTTAAGAGGTCCTGCCACAAAACACTTAAGTGGTGTTTATGAATAGCCGGTGGTATGCTTCTTGGTGGCATGGACCTAGAAACTCCACAAAGTTGTGGCAACAAATGTGGCTCCTGCCTGTACCTCCACCATGAAGTTAGACTCTCAGAAAGCTAAGGTATGGGGTGGAATTAGTTACCAAAGCTATAACTTTAATCCTAACCATGTAGCAGATTTAAGACTCGTGTACTCAGAAAAAGATAAAGACATATTCAGATGGAAAAAAAAACAAACCTCTAAACAATTTGTAGTGTGTTTTAAAATGTACATAGACTTGGGAAAGAAAATAAAAGAGAAAGTCCTCAGGGGAAAATAAAAGAAAGAAAGAAATACAGTAGCCAGGCGTGGTGGCACACACCTTTAATCCCAACACTTTGGAGTCAGAGGCAGGTAGATCTCTGTGAGTTTGAGGCCAGCCTGCTCTGTAGAGTGAGTTCCAAGACAGCCAAAGATACACAGAGAAACCTTGTCTCAAAAAACTAAAAAGTTAAAAAATAAAAATAAATAAGAGTAAGGAAAAGAAGTCACTTAAAGATGAAAAGTATACAGAGAATCTGGATGCTGTATATTATTGGGTTGTCTTTGAATTGCTTGACTGCTGAGGAAGGAGCAAAAGCTACTAAAAAGACATTTGACTATAAATGATGCTGGATTAATCCAATCTATATATTTTGGAAATACCTTGACTTCAAAATTAAAGTTTAAAGATATGTTACTTTTGGAAAGAGGTTCTGTTTTTGCTTCCACAGAAAATAAGAGGTGGTGGGATTCATTCTGGGTTAAGAAAAATAAGGTTTGATTGAGGAAGACCCCCCCTGAAAAATCTCCAATGGGTGATGGCCCAGATGATCTAATCTTTCAGAGCACCTCTGTTGCAGTATCCTCTGAGTTCTACATTTGGGACAGCTTCAAGACTGCTGGCTGAAATGATCAAGCTTCAAAGAATATTCCAGTCAGTTCCTGACCATAACCCTAAATTTTCTTCAGGTTTTCATAAGATTAAAAGTGCCCCCAATGAGCAGGAAGCAGCCTAGAAAACTATACCCACATTTCCTCCCTCCCCTAAAAGGGATTATAGGTGTTTTTCTTTGTTTAGTGTGTTGGTTACAAATTGTTATGGATAATGGTAAAATAAATAAATAAATAAATAAATAAATAAATAAATAAATAAATAGCCAAGCAAGGGAGAATAGATTTAGGGTCTTGTTTTGAAAAGAAAAAAAAAAGTGTGTGTGTGGGGGACTGCTGTGGGATAATGCTTTTGTACACTGTAAAGATTTATCACTTGTATTGGTTTAATAAGATGCTGATTGGCCAGTAGCCAAGCAGGAAGAATTGGTAGGGCAAAGAAACTAAGAGAATTCTGGGAAGAGGAAAGGCAGAGAGATACAGTTACTAGCCAGACACAGAAGAAGCAAGATGAGAATGCCTCACTAATAAAAAGGTACCAGGCCACAAAGCCAAACATAGACACAAATTATGGGTTAATTTAAGTTGTAAGAGCTAGTTAATAATATGCCTGAGCTAATAGGCCGAACAATTTATAATTAATATAAGCCTCTGTGTGTTTCTTTGAAACCGAACAGCTGAGGAACTGAGCTGGACAGCTTCCATCTACAATATCTGTCTCTGGGTTCATACTAATCATGCTACACCATACTAATTTCCAAAGAGACTATACAAGTTTGCACTCCCACTAGCAATGCAGGATTGTTCCCCTTACTCCACATAAGCTGTCACTTCTGTTTTTGTTCTTGGCCATCTGACAGGTGTAAGATACTATCTCAGAGTTATTTTGATTTGCATTTCCCTGATGGCTATGGATATTAAGCAGCTTCTTAAGTGTCTTTTGAGCATTTGAGATTCTTCTGTTGAGAATTCTGTGTTTAGATCTGTACTCCATTTTTAATTGAATTATTTAGTAGTTTGATGTCTAGTTTCTTGAATTCTTTCTGTTATTTTGGAGATTAGCCCTCTGTCAGATGTGGGGTCAGTGAAGATCTTTTCCCATTCTATAGGCTGTTTTGTCTTGTTGGCTGAGTCCTTTGCCAGAAGCTTTTCAGTTTCAGGAGGTCTCATTTATTAATTGTTGCTCTCATTGTCTGTGCTAC